ATAAAAACTAATATAAATATAGCGGAAGTTTGTCAAATGTATGGTAGCGAGCATGTAACATATCATTTTTATGCTTTCTCAAATAACACGCAAATGACATACTAACCTTTTCAACCATTTTCCCTTTCTGGTCTTTCTCTTAGCACAGAGAGGTAGTACTTTCCTAGAATAATTTCTTCCCATTTTTGGGAAACAACGAACACACACTATAACACTACTACACTACACCACTGATAATGACACAGCTGTTACGCGGCAACGATGTGGACGCGGATAACAGCAGGGATAGACTTGTCTTCTCGCGCCGTTGTTTGTTTACGCGCGCAACATCACGCATAACGGTTTACGGTCCGCGCAATAGATAATATCGGCGCAAAGAAGAGTCCGTTTACTTTTCAGTATGCCAATACTACTGCGATGATACGACGTGAATATAAAGATGTTTCCAGATTGTCTATATTAACCTCGATAATGTAAATGCATCTATAAAAAAATGAGTGCATTTTTACAAACATATATCTAAATATTTTTTGACAGAATACATTAATATTTCTTTTCAAGGAATAAAATATTCAAATTTTATATAACGTGTTTTGGATTTGAATCTTAATATTTGGAAAAATTTTTTAATATACATACGTTAATTATTAAATGACATTGTGAATAAATTAAAGAACGTTAAAGAACGTTCTGTTTTTACATTTTTTCTATTACTTTAAAAAAAAAGGTTTTAAAAAAGTTACAGTAAAGATTTAGTAGAGCACATGCATAATATTTTTTTATACTTAGGTATACATTATGGCATACAACAATACTGTATTATTTAAATTCCTTGGAGTTTTTGGTTACATGTTTGAGAATGAAATTCAAACTATAAAAACATATAGCGAGATATAAAGCGAATTTAAAGCGAGACAGTGACAACATTTAATAACTCTGAGATTTGTATATTAACATGTTATAAAAAAAAATAACAACACACACACACTTGATTTATGTGTCACTTTTAACAATTTTCTAGTTTTTCAGAATGTAACAAATGTTCTTATATTCATTCATTGAGTTGTTGATTTGTTCAATCTAAAGATACCGAGGAGTCCGCGATGATATTTGATAGAAAATTGTTTAATTTTGAAATAAATTGTGACATGTAAATCTAAATAGTAATGTGCACTTACTTGTTTATAATAAGTATTACTTGTTTGCAATAAGTTTCTTTTTTAAGATATGTCGAATGTCTGATTATTCCACTTCCAGAATTTACTTCATTATCAGAAATTTTATTCGAAAATTTTTTCCTTTCTTATTTGTCAATTGAATAAACTGATTCGGTATTCTTCCTACAGTTGTTGGTTTAAATTTTAAGACCGCGTTCGTAGAGGTGAACCGTAAGAACTCAGCGTGGTTTCGGGCGTTAGGTGCGAGATCAGTATGCTGAAGATCCTACGTTCGGTTCTTTTTTCATAAATTTTTTTTTTACAAATAACGTTATCAATAAACGTATTACTATAAATATATTTTTATATAATTACTTTATACGTGTACTTTTAAGTTTTAATTAAACAACTGTTGGAAGAATCTGGAGACATGGTAGTGTCTCGGCGGTGACACATGGCGCGAGACATTGCCGTACTCCTTTACGCGAGCCGTCGAGTTGCGTACCAAATCTCCAATAGCCAAATAAAAAATTATTTCTATATTGCACGACGTATAAGGACTTTTCAATTTGTAAACTATAACATTTTATTGATATCATCCTTGTAATTTTATTAATCATCTCTCTTCCACGACTCCGTGCGCTGTACCGCGTTCGTAGAACGTTGCTCTTTTACGCGAGCCGTCGAAGCATTCGAAGAATAGCAGTAAATCAAGCTTACTACGTGTATTGTAGACCGGCCTTTACGGTTTGCGACCCTATTGTAGAAGAGAATTTAGTCCTGTACATACATACACAGGACGCAACGCTTCTCGACAATAATAAGTTGCCACGCGCACAGCGCGCGACAAGCACGTGACAGTTGAATTTGCTGAACGCGATCGTCATCTTTGCACGGCAAAACATTTGCACGGCGCGTACGGTATCGCGGCAGTTCGGCAGTGACAGTCCAGAGGGATGGTGCGCGAAACTTCGCAGTCGAATTGTTACGGATTGAGAAATCGAAGGCGTAAGTACATATTCCTCGTAATTGTATATGTATATCATGCATAATTGTAATGTATACTAAACGTTTCACCTTTAATAAGGTTATTTTCGGTGCGATTACTGTTCGCATAATCATTGTACTGAAGATAACCTTATTAATGGTCGAAAGATGTACGGCAGAGCCTTTCAACTCGCACATGGCGTGCGTTTTACGTTACGAGATCCTTCTTCTTTTCTAGATTTGACTTCCGACATACAGAGACGGATAAAAGAAAATGCATCGTCTACAATACACGGAGTAAGAAGTAGTAAGAAATTGACCAATCACAGTCGAATGTGAGAAGAATAATCGATTGTGATTGGTCAATTTCTTACTCTTACTTACTCTGTGTATTGTAGACGATGCATTTTATCCGTCTCTGTATATCGGAAGTCAAATCGAGGAAAGAAGGAAGAAGGTATTATTTTGTAATGTAAAACGCACGCTACACGCGAGTTAGGAGGCTCTGATCTATAAAGTCTATATAAATATATATATATTAGAATTAGTTTGGCCGACAAGCATTTCAAGTATTTATCTTTTTTCAGCAAAAAGCGAAGGCAGCATAAAATATTGCAGCAACTGCAATAAATGGCCTGATCGGCTGACGACGACCCCGTCAAAATCAACGACGGCTCCGGAAATTTTGTCAACCGTGTCCCTGGCCACACCGACTCCAACAATGCCGACATCATTGGTGACAACAATGACGACGCTGACGTCGCCGATGTCGGC